GATAGACCAAGATCTTCTCTCCATAAGCAGAGAGTCACAATGTTGCTCCTCCTGGTGTTCCTGGTGAACAAAAGAGTTACCTTGAGCTGTCCTGCAAGTGATGCCTTCCCTGTTCCACATGAGTGGTACCAGCCTGGTGACTTCATCATTGGTGGGATGGTATCTCATATTTTTTACCACTTTGATGAAATTCAATTTAAAGAACATCCTTCTCTAAAAACTTATGATTTACCACTGTAAGGATTTTTTTTCTATCCATGCTTTTCCTAATCTTGGCCAGATCCCCCCAAATTGGTTGGATGAATAAAAGCTGTTTGAACATAAATGCAGGTTCTTGTAAATAATGTCCTCTGTATATGGTTGTGGGAGAAGGAATAATTTTCTTTACATTATGGTAAAGTCTTTCTCATGAAATATATGGAAACTTTGATGTAATAAATGTTTCAATAACATTTAGTGAGCCCAAGATACTAAAAAAAAAAGAAGAAAATCTGCATGATCACTCCTCCCAAAAGACATAGAGTAAAGGATTTATACTTGCTGAATCTATTCATATTTTGTTTGGTGCTAAATTGATAGACCATAAATGTAGTAGCTTGAAAAAAAATTACTAATTTTATTTGTTGTAGTACATACAGTATTTTTGGCAAATCGTGGAAATACTATGTAAAAAGTATATTTGAACTATGGACCAATTATTTGGTATTTTAGAAAAGCTATCAACATCCTTCTTCCATCAGAGACAGAAATGTTTGTTATTCATATAGAAATGATGACACATTACAAGAATTGAAAAATCACTTTTTCAATGGGTGTATTTAACCTATTGGCAGTGTAATAACGAAATTCTACCAGCACATCCTTGCCTTGGCATTTGCTGTGAAGGAGATCAATGAGGATTCCCACATCTTACCTAACATCACTCTTGGGTTCCACATCTATGACAGTTACCACAATCCAAGGATGACCTATCGCACCACTCTGGACCTGCTCTTCAAATCCAAGGATTTTGTCC